ATCAACTGCAACTCGAATTTTTCTTTCTATCTTATGCTTCATTTCTATAAATGTGATCTCTTTTTTGAATATCATATTTATTGGTTTTTCAGACTGAAAAACTACTCCGATCTCATTTTCCATAATCTGTCCATTATAACGTGAAAAAGTTGTTGCTCATTTCCTTTCCTTTCCTTTCCTTTATTGTTTCTTTCTTCGAATCAATATGTACGTGGAAAAATGTTGTGGAATAATGCTCTGTACGTGTAAAAAAATTATTTCTTTAAACAACAATATATTAAAAAAATTAAATTTATATAATCTAATATATTATAATATAACTTAAACTAATAAACTATTTCTTTATTATAATATAATTTAGTTAAAATAACAAACTAACAAACTAATTAAGAACTAATTAACTTTTTTAATATTTTAACTTAAACTTCAACAAACAACCTAATATACGTTTAAACACACTAACAAATTAATTAAATATTTTTTACATTTAATAACTTAAACTAAGAAACTAATTAACTAATTTTTTATATAATCTAATATATAACTTAAACTAACAATTTAATATAATATAACTTAAACTAACAAACTAATAATTTATACTAACAAACTAATTAACTAAATTTCTGTTTTATCCTAAACCCTAAACTAACAAACTAATTATTTCATAATTTCATATTAATAAACTAAATTAAACAATTAAAAATTACCTCACAAACGATGTTTGAGCCTTTATCTCCATTTCCTCCTCTTCTTATTTTCCTTTCATTTCCTTTCTCTCGCCAAATTTTCTTTCTTTCTTATGATTCTACCCTAAACCCCTCATATCCAATATATAATGATATTTCAACGGTTGGTAGGTAAGCTGCAATCAATTTGAGCTGTATAATTCACGTTGAAAGCTGTAAATTTTTCAACCGTTGAACGCTGCAATAATACAACACAGTTGATTTTATGCTGCACCAATACAGCTATGATAACAATAGTGAACAGTCTCGAAGCTATGGCATGAGGACCAGCTATGGCTAGAAGCTAGGGCACGAATCTATGACACTTTGCAGCTCAAATCATGCTGCAATAATACAGTTATTACACCTGCATGCATGAGTCTCCTGAGCAGATGTAAGAGGAATCACGCGAGGAATAGGTTCTCCTGAGCAGCTGCAAGTGGAGAGGATTGTATGGATACCTATCCTGCATGGCCCAAAGTTGTTCAGTCCAAGCATGGACTGCATGGTGACCTTTGCCGAGCTGGGCGTGCATGGAGGTCGTTGGGCGTGCCTGGGCGTGCATGGAGGTCGTGCATGGGCGTGTATGAAGGTCGTTGGGCGTGCATGGGCGTGCATGGAGGTGCTGGTAGGTCGCAGGGCATGCATGGCGACCTACCAGGTCGCTGGGCGTGCATGGCGACCTACCAGGTCGCCGGGCGTGCATGGCGACCTACCCCCGGAACTGTAGACCACACCACCTGAGCAATTAATCTGGCGATCCCACTATCTCGTGAAAAAAAATTTTCAACGCATTATCTCGTTGATTTTGCCCTATATATTTAATGGCATTGACGATTAAAGAGAATATTGTTTTCTAAAGTTACAAGAGCTTTGTGTTGTAAATGATTTAAAAAATTATAAATAAGTATTATTTTGTAAATACCCCTTATTATTAATTAATATGATAAATAAATAATATTATTTTTACTTGAAATTTCCAGCAATAGTTTTCTCGAATTAGAACATTAATTAGTTGGTGCATTGTTGTAGTATTCCTAACTTAAATCATTAAATTATCATTTTTTTCTAATATTGATTACCTATATTGAATAGGATAAAGTATATAAATGATCCATCGACTATAAGATAATACTTTATTCAGTACTAATTAAGACTATTAAAAGTTAAAAAATGATTCTTTGATTATAGAGGGTTATTTTTGTTGAGTCCATTAAATATTAAAAATTACAAAATAGTTACTCGATTGTTTATTATGTTCCAAACTCATCATTTTCTGTTAAAAATTGACGGTAGTCTGAGCTGTACATTAACATGATGACTAAGATATGATAAAATATGATATCACAATCTCAAACAACTATCTATCTCAGTTAACATGTTAACTTTCGGCTCAAACGATCGTTAATTTTATAACGAAAATGATGATTTTGGAATATAATGAATAGTCGAGTGATCATTTTGTAACTTTTAATAGTTGAGGGACTCAACAAAGCAACTCTCTATAGTCGGGGGATCATTTTATAGCTTTTAATAATTAAGGGACTCAATAAAGCAATATCCTATAGTCGAGGGATCATTTGTGTACTTTATCCTATTTAATATTATAGATAGACTTTACTTTTGTTTAAAAAAAATTAAATAGATTTGGATATTTGTGGATAGTTTTCTAACGTCGTTCGACTTCAATTACAGTTTGTCGGTAAATTTTTAGTGATTTTATCTCCTTTTGTGGTACGCTAGTAGTTGCAGTCAGATTAATTTATATCTATCTTTTGTTCGAGTTATATGGTTGAGTTTTTAACTTTTCCTTACATGATTTATGATATCAAGTAACTAGTTTCTTATGTTAAAAGTCATAGAAAAATATTATAATTAGGTATTTAATTTACGACTATAATTATAAACTTTCATTATAATTATGAATATTTTATCTTTCATTAATAAAATTAGTTTCTTTTACTTAAAAAATAAAAAAAATATATTGATAAAACATCAAAATTCTAACAATTTTATTGATGAGTGGGTCTCTTATGAGATTAAAATGAATGAAATTGTTAGGTTAGGCAATTTGGTAGCGGTGATTTTCATTGATCTCAAAGGGTGACATTGTAACACCCCCAACTCGTATCTAATCCGGGATATGAGTCTGAGTGTCACATTGAGTTTTCAAAACATTTATTTTTACAAAAGAACTAAATATGCAATTTGTCATTTACAATAAAACCGAATAATCTTTATTATATAAAACATATGGTTTTACAAAACCTATCAGAGCATACTTGATCCGAATCTTTATTTATATGCCAACTTAAATCGATATTATAAAATACATATGATTCAATTCTTTTCTGATCTGATTATTGGAAAGGAGAAGTTGACATGTCTTGCATGCCCACGATCCCTTCTCATCTTCTTGGAACCTACGTGTGAAACACTCACATGCTAAGTCATTGACTTAGTGAGGCATAAAACACGTATAATAGAAACTCTGGGTACTTAACAATGCATGAACATTTCCTATTTCACATAATGTACTACAAACATCATATAACAATTCATATAACCAGCTATATACATGCACACATATCATCATTATCCTAGTCACATTATTGTCATTATCACAATCATTAATCCATTTAGAATATATAATCTGATAGTTCATCTTTGTAGCATTTCAAACCATACCTTTAATATAACAAATAAACACATGCATATATATCATCATCTTCATTCTTAGTATAATCAATAATTCCTTTTATCATATGATCATATACTTATCATTTATACACATCATATATCATACATATCACTTCACAAGGAATCAAACATATGATCATATCAAGTTTATTTATATTATTTAGACCATGTACACATGTGAGAACTAAAGATCTGTGAGTACATAGAGGTTGTGCACATATGCTGTCACCACAACTCGTATGGTTCCCACTAGGGGCACTTATGATTTGTCCCGAAGGACCACTATGTCCCGAAGAACCACTCCTTAAAAACCATATACATATTCCAATGGACTAAATAAGTGTCTAAAGTACCGCATATATGTTCCAAAGGATTATATATACATCCCAAAGGACCACGTAGAACCCTCGACTCTTGGCATGCCAACTATACATCTAGCTCTCATTTTATATAACATGGGCATTATCATATGTTTATCATATCTTAACATATTCATATAATCACATAACTTATCACATACTTATATCCTTGTACTTGTAATCTCGTATCTTCTTTTCACATATATCATATCATATAACATTCTCATATAGCCTCATAGCTCATTGTCATATAAATCACATATCACATAATTTGTATCACATATACATATAGACACATATATCACTTTTGCATAGCTTATATCAACTTTTCAAGTCATTTCATATTACTTGTTTCTATCACTAGTAGAAAAAACCCCTTTAATGATCATACCACTATTTAATTTCCTAACTCATGTTTCTATCACTAGTAGAAAAAACCCCTTTAATGACGCGCATTGCGCGTCATCTATGGGTGCGGATGACACACATTTGCCTGTCGTTGAAGCCACCGACATGAATTTAAGATGACGCGCAACTGTGCGTCATAAATTTATGACGCGCATTTATGAAACGCATTTATGACGCACATTTATGACGCGCATTTATGACTTACATTGCGCGTCATTGAAGCCCCCGTCATAAATGAAGATGACACACATTTGTGTGTTATAAATTTATGACACACATTTATGACTTACATTGCGTGTCATCGAAGCCCCCGTCATAAATGAAAATGACACACATTCGTGTGTCGTGATTGTATTTCGTAAATTATATATATATATATATTGTAGATTGACAAATAATCAAACTAAATCACATTTAATGCCTCATAATACTAAATATATATATCATATTATATATAAGCAATCCATTTGCATACAATATATTCACATTAAGTTATCAAAAATATTGTAATCATATGTCGATACAAAATATCATGGCATAATAAAGTTATACTAATATACCCTCGCCATCCGGGCGTATACACAAGAAATAATTGAAAATAATTGTAACAGTTAAAATTAGTTGCAATATATAGAACAAACACATTCCTAATATGCACATTAAACTTCTAAAAACACCATCCTTGGTGTCATATGTGATTGCTCATAAGCTTCATCTTTCATCTTTGAGTTCATGAGACTTAAGTGAAAAAGGTTATCAAGCTTTTTTATTCTCTTTACAGCAACATCTGTTCCCCGCCATTTTCCATGATAATTACATGAAAAGAATCAACGGTGTCATCGACAGGTTTATGCTCCTCAGCCTTGATAAAATCCTGCAGATGAACATTCCATGAAACATGCAACAATCATGATGCAAACAAAAGAAGAAGAAGAAAAGATCGACTCAAAGAATAAGAAAAAAAATAAGATCATACAAAGTATAGATCAAGAAAATATGACGACATTCTCCACTAACATGGAATAAATCCCCTCATATATCACAGGTCAATGGCAAAGGAAAAGACATCAAATATTTTCTGAAGTTTGATGACATACCAATTTCTGATCTGCTGTTGTTGAATTTGATAATTTCTTTTTCTTTCTACCCGTCTGATCAAAGAAAATATAATTATAAGAAGATAACATACTATACATGCACATAGACAGAGACTTTTCTAGGATTTTCAACCAAGACGGAAGATGCAATAGCATCAGCATTAGCATCAGCCTTCCTTAAGAATTACTTGTATATTACCTGCAGTTATTGCAGCAAACTATATTGGTTTTGATGTTCTTCTGTTTGTGCTGTTTGGATTGGCATCTGGTTCATCACCAATCAGTCACTAATGAGAAAATAAGCATGATAATTTTCCCCCCAAAACGAGAGTGAAAGAGCTTCTAACAAGTGAAACCAATAAACACAACCATATAAGTTTTAAGTTGCATGCAATTACTACTGTAAGATCTCTTTTTAAATTATGACTATTTAAAGGAGGGTTGATAGCATACATATCATCATAACATCTTACAGAGAGTACCTAGTGACAAATCCATTAGATGCAAAATACATATTATCTTTACCGAAAACAAAATGACAATAATATATACCCATAAGTTTATGTTACTGCTTCAATTGACCAGTATGTTATTCTCAACTCTGGTTGACAATTCAATATCTGAAATTGCTGCTGATAGTTTGGTGCCTGAAAGAGTAAATTTAAACTATAACCCAAATCAAGTAAGAAAGCTCAACTACAGAACTGTTAGTGGAACTTTAAGCAAACTTCTATTTACACTTGGCAGGATTTAAACATCTACAGTGTCAAAAAGTGTAAAAGTTGGTGTTCGCAAGGCTCCAACAAATATTAATTAACATGCCACTTACATCCAAAGGCAATCCATTCAGTGGTGCTGGGTCAATTGATTCATTCAAGCCTGAAAAGATAAAAACCACAACTTTGATATATATATATATATATATATATATATATATATAACATATATATAATTTCAATGCCAAAAAAATAAAGCAAAGCCAATGTTGTGTGCATATTCTTCTTGTCAAAATAGATCAGATATCCAATATTCATCCCATCTTCAAATATACACAAGTAAAAAAGAGATCAGATTTTCCAGCATGAACTCAAACCAGACGAAGGTGCAAGACAACCTGCTACAAGAGGCCAAGTCACTGGAAGTTTGCCTTTTTTTGCCCCATAGGGAGTGGTTGAATTGATAGGAAGGGTACTCCACAAGTTAATGCCTTGATTTTGTTCCTGTAAATTGAAAATGTTGCTAACATTTAGAGAAAATAATGACAACTAGGTGGTTGTGTTAACAAAGTAAATAGTTTAGATTCTACCCTCTTAACTTGATGCTGAGCAAGATTTATCTGTCGTTGCAGAAGGCTGATACAAGAAAAAATGTGAGAAGAAGATATGAAACTATCATTTACAATTGAAGCAAATTACCATCTACAAGAATGAATAAACATATATACTTTTTCTATTAACTTCAAATAGATCTTAAAATATGTATCAAAAAAGAGTGAAACAATTTATTAAAAAGATGAGCATTTCCACAAAACATGATAATCCAAGCAACTCTTTTTTATTATTTGTTGCCGTAAGCAATACTTTTAAGCTATGTGCTCAAAACATGAAACAAATTACATGAAATTGACCAGAAGCTTCAAGTTAACCGAGTTGAGTAGATATCCCAAACTCGACCTTGAACTGATTGCATACACACAACGATATATAATAATCGAATACATCAGATGAGCATCAACAATCAAATGGCAATGCAATGGTTCAGTTGTCACTCTTCCAACCTAATGAAGACCTCTTAGCTACCGAAAAGGACGAGTTTTCCGAGTTCAATAGTGTCTACACTACTCAATGAAGACCTCTTAGAAACTGTAAAGGCTGAGTTTTCCTAGTAACATTTACAAATCCAATGCCATATGATTAATTATCAGCAATAAACAATCGATTAATCGTCCTAAGTTACCAAGCGTGTTTCCCAACTCAAAAAACTGCTAATTCAATTTGTCCCTCCTCAGTTTTTCACGGTCTGCCTTCTGAACTTTTCTTGCAACTACTGGATCCTTAATTTCCATCTCTAGCTTTTCTCTGCAAAAAATAAACAATAATCAAGGAATATCAACTGATAATACATTCCTTTTAATCAACAATAAAGTAATAATAATTACGAATGAAAATTAAACTACGAAATAAACATGAAACGACATAAGTGCAACAAAACAATAGTAAAAATAAAAACCTGGGTTCAGAGTGTGAAGTGCTCAAATCTGCTGCCATGGCCTTGGAGAAATCGTTGGGGTTCCTTTGCTGGTTTTTCCACGGAAATATTTGCACACACGAGAAGCTATAAATCAAATTAGGGTTTCATACTTGATTCTTAAGATTGAAGCTGATGATCCTAAATTAAGTTTTTTTTTCTTCTTCCTGTTATCCGAGGAAAGGAGATGGAAAAAAGACAACAAAAAAAGGACAAACTCAGCATGTTATCCATGTTGAACATTTTTTCAATCTTTTTCTTCTCACCATCTAGGAGGGAAAAAGAGGAGAAGGGGAGAAGCATATGCGTCCGTGAATTGATTAGAGGAGGCCAGGAATAGAAGCGATAAAGGATGAAAATACTTTTATAGATGACACACAATTAAAAGTGTACTTCGTGTTTTGATAAATTTGTTGTATTATGACTATTAAATATGACACACATTATTGTAAGTCATAAATCGTTCAGATTTTAAAAAACATGACATTTATTTTATGACACACATGTTTTACAAGTCATAAATTAGCGTGTGTCATTGTTCGTGTGTCATTAAAGGTATATTTTCTTGTAGTGTATTATTCATATAATTACATAACTTATTTTATATTCTCCCATTATCACTTAATAGTGTTTTTACATACATCATACATAACATATCAACATATATAATTAAGTATACATACACTTCATGTCATTCACATACTTTTAATCAAGACTTCATGTACTATAATGATAGGAAATAGACTTATCGCAAGTCCAATTTCCATATAATCCTATAAAATAAGATGCACTCACCTGGCCTCACTAGTCAATACCGATCTCTTATCTTTTTCTCGATAATCATTATTTGTCGACTTGTCCGAACTTTGCTCTCGATCAATATCTTCACCATCATACAATTCAACAAGTATCGGAATTCTAATTACTTGCAAAGGTTCTTACTATTGCAATCTAATCAAAGAACTAATCTTTAATTTCCAACTCAAGTAGTATCAATACTACAAGCACAATACCGATACCCCTATGCTTGTAGTATCGATACCCTTCCACAGTATCGACACCCTAATTCGATTCTGCCATCCTTATTTCAAAATGGTACTGATACTTGCTAGATGGTATCGATACCCTCAGTATAAATACTACTCCCTTGGTATCGATACTCCTTGAACAAATTATAAATTTGTACCCAATGGTATCGATACTCATTCAACAAGTATCGATACCCATGCTTCAATAATCACTCATTTTTTCTTTGAAGTATCGATACTTGATGAACAGTACCGATACCCCCTGCCCAGAATTAATTTATTTTACCCGAAAATCTTACCAAACTTACTTAATTCTTCTACCATAACCTTCTTTTAGTCCTTTAATCTTAACTACACTTATTCAAATCATCTTATATCCATATAACCTATCATCATCTTTAATAACTCATCTTAATTCTTGAAACCAAAAATCCTACGCAATTTCCAACATGTTTGTAATTTATTCCTATTACTTATAACTTATTAATTCGACCCTTGACAAATCAAATTCAACTTAAAAATCCATTTACCCATTCTTTTTCAATAATTCACTTAAAAACTTATTAACTTAATCTCTCATAACTCATTCACCTTTGAGTTTTAAGTCACCTTAAGCATTCCATAAGCTTTCTTAATCCTCCAAGAATCAAAACCCATCATAAAAATTAAGGAATAATCAACTTGTAAGAACTCACCTTTTAGTTGAGCTCACGAGAAGAAGAAGCTGAACCCAACTCTCCAGATGTTTCTTTCCTTTCTCCCCTCTCATTTCCAAGTGGTTATATCATTTATAAAGGGATAATAAAAATCTTTCTTTGAAAAGACAAATTTACCTTTACTTCATCAAATATTTACTAAACAATTCTTCACAAAATATTCTCAATTAAGTCCCTGAACATTCAATCTATCAAAATCAGACCTCAAATTTTCAAAACTTCCATTTTAGTCACTAGTCCTGATTTTTGGGATATTACAGACATGGTGCAGAGCTTAAGTATGATGGATGGTTTACTGATGAACCCACAATAATTTAGTGTATATAAATATGACGCAAAATGCAACATTTATTTAATGTTCATAAACAACCGGTTTTACCTCTCAAGTAAATTTATACATGTACTGTAAGGCCAGCTCAAAACTAATTGACAGGCACATTTAAATAAGTTTTTTTCTCTCATTTGAGTCTCCTTTAAAATACGTAATACGTTCACCTTGAAAACCTATTAATATACTATTCCCACTGGTTTGCCCACGAGTGTAGCCGTAAGATTTGTAATGCACAAACACTACACTACATAAACACTATTATATGTTTGGTATAAGCATTAAAGCATAGGTTTAGCCGTAAGATTTGTAATGCAAATGCTTTCGCCCTAAAAATGTGCATGTTCATGAGCGAAATACATCATTGGCTCTGGAGCAGGAAGCCTAGGAAACTCATAGGAAAAAAACGAAGCATCTATGGAGCTGACACATAGTACTACTACAAGGTTTTAAAACTCCCAAATATCGGGATCCGATCTCCATCCCATTTGACTTCGGTATATAAAAATTCCCATTGGCACTCCAAGTTGGATAATCTTTTTGTATTTTAGCATCCAAATTGTTCCCCACCTCCATCTATAAAAAGCCTCTTCCAACTCTAACGTTTTTCATCAACTCCACCAGGCTTTATAATATTCTCAACACAAATTAAGTTTCTGTTTCCTTTGAGAAATGGCTTCCAAGGCTTCAGCAGCAATCGCCCTTCTTCTCTCCCTCAACCTGCTGTTTTTCTCAATGACCGACGCTCTCATTACTGGTACACTTACCCAATGCCCCGGCACTGACCTGAATGTTTGCGTCAACGTGTTGCCCTTCGGGATTCTCGGGGGAGGTCTTACACAGGGTAGCCCATGCTGCGCCCTCCTTGGAAACTTGGTCGCTGCCGATGCGGAACTTTGCCTTTGTGCTATGGTCAAGTTCCAAATCTTTGGTTTCCTCAGCCTCAACATTGACGCTGATCTTAACGTTCTTCTCAACAGTTATTGCAAAATTGGAACAACCAAAACCTACACCTGCCCTCTTAACTATTAAAATTGGTGTAGCTCTCACTCAGGTGTCCTAAAATTATGAATAATCGTTTCTACGAATGATTTAGGTCTTAGTTGTCCTGCATGCATGAATAATCGTTTCTACGTTTACTGTTTTCTATATATGGACGGATGGGTATCGCCTTCCTTTCCGATGTTGTGGTTCTAATTATGTAATCATAGTATTTTAATCTATAAAATGTCACGAAAATAATTGTTGCAACTCTGCTTTTTATGATACCTTTGCATATGAGATTAACTCCCCCCCCCCCCGATGTTATTGCGAGTCCAAACCAATGCATTGATGCTCTGAAATACTGTAAAAAATGCATCTTAATTTTGTATCATGGATCAACTAAAATCACCTAAGGTTCAAGGTAAGAAAGGAGATCATCAGATAAAAACAGTTAAGGGTGGAGCTAAAAAGGCAACATCATGCTAAGGAGAGTTGTTTTTTTAACGAGATTGTATTTGTGGATAGTTTTCTAACGTCGTTCGACTTCAATTACAGTTTGTCGGTAATTTTCAGTAGTTTGATCTCTTTTTTTGGTTCGTTTGTAGATGCAATCAGATTTATTTATAACTATCTTTTGTTCGAGTTTTTAACTTTTCATTATATGATTTATAATATCAAGTAATCAGTTTCTTATGTTAATAGTCATAGAAAAATATTCTAATTATATATTTAATTTACGACTATAATTATGAACTTTCATTATAATTATTAATATTTTCTCTTTTTATTAAAATCAATTTTTTTAGTTAAAAAAATAAAAATATATATATATATTGACAAAACATCAAAATTCTAACAATTTTGAGTTACTAAACCATATGGTAGAATATACACGTAGTTAATGCTACCATAGTATTATTTATCTTATAATACCATGATACAAGTATTTAAAATAATTAATTCAGAGGATAAATACTCAAATCATGATTATTAATAAGATTCTCATCTTGATGAGTTATAACACCATAAAAGAAGTTATTATCTTTAGTTTTTATAACATCTTAAATTATTCGAATCTTGCCTAACTCTTCAAATGAATAGAATTTCCAGGTCTCTATTATATATGCTATTCCGCTTATATTATCCCACATTTATTAATTACATTTTTATTTAATTTTTTTTATTTTCTTACTAAAACAAAATCAATATAAGTTTGGCAATTTATATTTTTTAAATTTTCAATAATATTTTGTTACTTTTAGTGAATTTAATTTGTTTAATTTAAATCGTAACTAAACCCTAAATCCTAGTTCATAAACCATAAATCCAAATCCTCAATCCAAACCTTAAATCTTAAACTTTAAATTCTAAACGGTAAAATCAAAATATAAATAAAATTAATTGAACTAAATTGTTATAAATGATTTAATTTTTAAATAACTTAAATTTACTAAAAAATAAAAAAAATAATTTAATAAATAAGTTAACTAAATTAAATTTATTAAAATAATTTAATATTATTAAACATTTTAAAAAAATATTATCAAAGTAATGTTGATTTTGTTGTAGTAAAAAAACAAAAAAATTAAATGAAAATAAGGAAACAAAGAAAATGATAAACTTCACCTATTTACTAATATATCATTAATACATATATCATAATATAAGTGGTGGGACATATATAGGGGTAGAAAAATTATATTCTACTTCAAACACTGTTGCTCACACAACAACAAAATTATTCTACAGTGGCATTTTTAGCTGCGTTTTGAGAGTAAACACCACTAACTTTAAACATATAGCGGCATTTACATCCTAAACGCTACAAAATGATAACTTTAGCGGTGTTTTTATACAAAATGCCACGGCATAGTAGTATTTTAGCGACGTTTATATTAAAACGCAGCAATTAGGTTCATCTATAGTGGCGTTTCTTCAACAAACACCGCAATAAAGTAGTACTTTAGCGGCGTTTTTATACAAACGCCGCAATAGGTTCATCCATAGTGGCTTTTCTCAACAAATGCCTTGAAAAAGTAGTACTTTAGCGGTGTTTGTATAAAAATGTTGTAATAGGGTTCATCTATAGTGGCATTTTTTCAACAAACGCCGCAAAAGAGTAGTATTTTAGCGGTATTTTTATACAAACGCCGCAACAAAATAGTACTTTAGCGACGCTTTTATTCAAACGTTGCAATAGGGTTAATCTATAGTGGCATTTTTTTCCAACAAATGTTGCTAAACACGCATAGTTTAGTGGTGTTTATATAAAAAACGACGTGATAGCTCGATATATAGTGACATTTGTGTAAAAAACGCCGCTATATTAGAAACCCTCCCAACACGGGTTTTAATAACTCACACACTATAAAGCTTTCTCTTTGTCTCTTCTATTTTAGGGTTTTTGAAAGGAATGAGCGACTGCCAACTTTAAATCTGCTGTAAAAAGAGTGGAAGCAGCTCATATTTTTGAAAATTTCAAACCCCCTCTCCCTCCAAGGTAAAGCTTGCTGATTTCCCACCATTTTCTTGCCCATTTCCATCTTTCTCTGAATATGTAGGAACCCTAGAACCTAAAGTTTCAATCTTTGTTGGTTGGAAAATTTTTCATTCTCCTTGTTCTTTAACTAAGCTCGGGATTCAACTCTGTTTCTATTTTGTGTGGATTATGGATTATTGTATTTGAAAATGTTCGAAGCTTTACTGCATCGGGTATTTTATGTCTATTTAGCATGTCGATTACGCTTCCTGTTTCCTGAATCGGTTGTTGATTTGATACTGTTAATTTGATTCTATGTATTATTGTGTTCAAAGCTTTACTACTTTATTTCTTCTGTTAACTATAATGGTATACATTCTAGTATTGATTGTAAGTCTGTAACTGCATATGAGTGAAAGTAATTATTGAGTACTCAAACACAACTTCTCCGAATTTAAGGTGCAGTTCGAGTTAAATCGGAGTAATTAGAGATCAAATTGAGTGTATTTGAATATCTTTAATACATGAATTGAGCAACTCACGAGCCCAACAAGATTTTGATTTTATTTACATGTTTTCAAAGTTGTTTGTTTTAACTCTTTTTAGAGTCAAGTTTCAAGTTCTTCTTTTGGGTAATGATAATTCTAATTAAGTATTTTATATCTTGATTTTTTTCTAACTAGGCTCGAGCAAATTTTGGGTGGTAAGAGTAATCAATTGAGTCAAGTTTGTTTATCATTAACAGTTGAATCGAGCTACTCGTGAGCCTAACATGGATTTTGAATTTTTATTATTTTATTTGATATGGATGTATACATATGATTTGGTTCATTTTATATGTTTCCAAACTCAAGCTCGAGTCATGTTTCAAATTCCCTACTTGAGTAATGTTAATCCTAATCAAGTCGTGTGTAGCTTGACTGGTTTTTTAAGCTGAGCTCGAGGGTGAAATGTAAAAGGCTCATTTGAGCTTTGCTTTGCTTTGTATCAGATCAACACCTTGCACCTTGTAGTTTTACTTTCTAATGTTGCTCAGAATCTTCATTTTGCTTGAATTATCTACATCCAACACATTTCTGACTCTTTAACATAGTAAGATAGCTAATTAAGGTAATGATAATCTAAATCTATTTTTGGATTTTAGGAGTTGGATCTGATCAGAATGAAACAGAGGGAAAAGAGGCCAAAGTCGATGATACCAAAACTGAGGTCAAATTTACTTTTCATTATACATATACAAGGGTTGATGACCTTTTGCATCTTGTTCTTGTTCAATATTTTTGCTTTCAAAATTTTTAGTTTGATTTTCCCCTTTGTTGCAGCAAAAATGATATACGTCCAAAAACTAGGAACAACTTGTACAGGTTGAGATTGAGGAAATTTTTTAGTGGTGTCTTTGTAAAGGCAACTGAGGGTGTGATAGAGATGCTGCAGAAAGTGGAGTCGTATGTCACATACAGGTATGGAGGTAACTTTTCTTTCTTTCAAGTTCCCCTTTTCTTTTTACCGATAAATGTATAACGGTGAATCTAAATTTGTAAGAACTTGTATAAATTTTAATGTGTTTCTCTATGTGTGTTGATGACATTATTTCAAGTTCCTTCTCCTTCTTCTTTAACTAAGCTCGGGATTAAACTCTGTTTCTATTTTGCGTGCATTATGAATATTTTATTTTGTACTCTCAAATTTCATAGATCGTACGCATGCAGGATGTTCGAAGCTTATTGAGAACGATGATAGAGGAGTGGATAAATACCCGATGTTTAGAACCGAATTGGGGAAATCTATGGCGTTGAAAGAATCTTCAATTGCAAAAGCATTATCTATCCTCAATGAAGACGACGTTGCCTCTACTGTTACTCCAAGTAAACACTTCTCTTTTTTTTTTAAATTTTTTAATGTTTGATTCAATTCCCAAGCCACCTCCAATCAAGTTTCATACCGTAGGTGAAAGGTCGTTATCTGTTTCAAGTGAAGCACTGAAGCGCGCAATGAGTTTTCTTGGTGAACCGGATCTAGGGGATTTATTTGGTGAAATGGATGAAGAGCTTCTCCATATACAGTTTACACGGGGGGGGGGGGAACTTAACGATGCTTCATCAAATAAGGAAAACTGTTTTTTTTACTTTCTTTCCCCATGAAGGAGCAATGAAGACTAAATTCTAGTGAACAATATTTTTTTTAATTGAAAGTGAAAGAACCTAGACTAAATTCTAGAGAGCAATGTCAAACTACATTACATTTAATTTTAATGTTTATAAATTTTAATTTATTTTGTTGTTAAGTATTTTTCTGCATAACTTGTGTTTTAATTGAAATGTATGGTTGTTGTTAATTAGATAAAGCTACATGATATTAAATTTAGGTGATGTAGAGCAGAAATGAAATATTCAAAATCAATTAATCTTAGCTAAAGAAAGGTAATTAGAGGTGTTTGTATCCAAAAACGCCGCTATAGATATGACCTTTTGCGGCGTTTGTATCCAAAAACACCACTATAGATCTGACATTTTACGACGTTTGTTCCAAAAACGCCGCTATAGATCTGACCTTTTGCGGCATTTTTTTC